GCCCGGCCAGCCTGGTCTCAGCCCTGGGCTTTATAAGGGCCAGGCCCTGCCTCCTACAGGCAGCTGGCTCTCCTTAGTTGCCCCCGCAACCCGCAGCTGTGCCCGTTACCCTGGCAACCCTCATCTGGGCTCGTTATGTCCTGCCAGGGCTCTCTCTCCCTGGCAGTTTCTCCTCTCTAGGAGCAGAGCACTGAGGTGCTCTGCGACAGACCCATTCCTCATCCAATTGTTATTTTTGTAATTGAAGTGTTTGTTTATTTTCAAAGAACTTAGTACAACATATATAGGTAAAAAATATTGCTTTTCTCTATCTCTCTATATCTGTTGAAATCTGCTTAATCAGAATCAGGCTTTCAAGGAAACACCAGTGTTTATGATGAAAAATGTCTCCTTGAAGGCCTTATTCTGATTAAGCAGATTTTTCAAGAAAGAATCAATTAATAAAAGGCAGTATATTGCAGCTGAAGTGGTCCCCATTTGTTTTCTTTCCATCCTGCTAACTCAGTTAAAGAATTAAAAATCTCTGGGTGAAATCCCAGCCCCACTGAAGTCAATGGCAAAACTCCCATTGGCTTCAGGATTTTAATCTTGCTTTCCCTCCTTGGCTGAAATGCAAGAGACTTACTGCACAAGAAGCACAAAATGATTAGCGTGCCACTGATTTCTGAGAAGTTCTGTGGTACTGCTAGCCTTTGTTTTTTATGATTTTGGGTGCTGGTACTAATTGGTATAGGTCCACTGCAATTAATGAGCAAAGGATCTGGGTGTAGGGTACACATCTTCTCATTACAATGCAAGATTTGCCTATACTAGAAACGGACGTTGCCAAATGAAGTGGATCAGTTATGTCAGGACACATACCAGCTCAATTGATCTGCTTCACTGGGCAAAGCAGACATTGCCCGTTGTCCCAAAGAGTCAGGCCCCTGCCCCTCTCAGGAGCGGCAGGGGCCCAAGTGTGCAGGACAATTCTCAGGGCACATCTCTGCAAGTGGGGGAACCCCAGGTTTCCTCACTTGCAGAGATGTGTCCTGAGTTGGGTTCCCTGGGTGCACCTCTGCAAACAGGGAGCAGCTGTGCACCCAGGCATTATGACTCAGGCTCTGCCTCTGCAAATGGGGAAATGTGGACAACTGCTCCTAGGACTTCAGAGGCCCAATTCTGTATGCCTTGGGAGCACCTGCCTGGGGTGGCTGGAAAGCATGGGCCGCTCCAGGCTGCCCATGATCTCCCTCCTTAAAACAAACAGATGTCCACTGAAAAACAGTGGCACAAAGTTATACTACCGTTCATCATGGCCACAAATCTGTGCATTTGTGATGTAACAAAGGGTATGGATGTCTGTTTGCTTTTGCTTTGTTTTAAGGCAGCACACAGGCAATGTCTGTTTGCAGCCATAGAGATACCCAAGCTAGCTCTGGATACATCAGCCTGAGAACTGGAAGCAGTACCCCAATTAGTTGACTGATTAGTTTTGCTGAGAACTGAAAGAAGAGTGAAGAGTTATTTTGTTTCCTTGCCATCAGCTTCTCTGCTGAAATTGCCAACAAATAGCCATTTAATGAAATCTATCACAAAAAATGGCCACCAGCACACTTTCAAATCGAATGGAATTACTGTACTAGTTAGACAACAGACAGTGCTTTTAAAATGGGGCTGAAATAAGTCCCCTGGGAAATGTTTCAAGTAATTGGTTTTCCTGATTAGAGGTAGTTACCTGTTTCAGTCATCTGACAAAGAAGGCTGTTCCTTACAAAAGCTTAAACCTTTTTGAGTGAGTTAGTCTAAGGTGCCATCCTTTCCTACTATCTGACTTTCCTCATTAAATAGAGCAGATTGCATTCATTAAATAGATTATACTGTGATCTAAGTACTGGAGTCACTTGCTTTCTTGCAACTTGAATATTGCTTATGTTCTTCACAGTATTCGCTCAAAATTGCTGGCATACCTTTTGTATGTCTCTACTGGGAGCTGAGGGTTTTAGCTCATGATTAATTACATGTGTGATGTTGCTTTGTGAGATAGGAAGTGCTATCTATAACATGGTTTTGTCCACGCAGGCTATTTCAAAGCTGGAACATTTTACAGAGACATGCTGATTTCATCATTTTCAACAGGAAGGTTTATGAAATCCATGGTAACTTCTATAATAGTGGTTCTCAAATCTTTTTAGACTCAAGGCACCCCCATCCATAACTTGTCTGAATTTAGTGGCACCCTGTTTCAGAAACAAATTTCACTTGTTTTTTGATTGCCAAAAAATAATGGAGCAATTCTTCTGTTGCAAAGAACTCATGAGGACTACAGCCACTCAGAACATTTTTAACACTATGGATTCCTATTAGAAATCTTTGGGTTTAGCTTGTGAACAGTGTCAGTATTTGCATACCTACCCATGCTGATATTGCATAGCACCCTGCAACAACAACCTGAAAAGGATCTTATGGCACCCCAGGATACTGTAGGACCCTGACTGAGAATCACTCCTCTAGAGAGAGAGAGAGGAGACCTGAACAGAAAAACTTAGTCGAGAACTTATATCTGAAAATGGCCATTGCAACACAATTCCATTTAGCAAAGAAGATAGCATAACTGAGGCGGGGTGGGGGGGGAGGAGGCGGCAACTGGTGCAGTAGTCCCAGGCTCTGCCTTTGTTGTGAGGGGGTATGCAAAAATATATCTGTGACTCTAGTGACAGCTGATTCCACAACTGTGACTGGCACCGCAGCAGCTACCACTGCCCTAGGCATGAAGCTTCCCAATTATGCCTCTGAGCAAAGACATTTGAAAAGATTCATTTTCATTCCAGTGCAAAATGAAAACTAATTTTGAATTATTTTAAGTAGTTGGGAAATGGAATTTCATCTTCCACACAGCTGTACTGTTTTTTTCAGCACAGGATATCAAAACACATGTGAATTTAAACTTTATTTTATCCATAAGCGATCTGCTTTGCATTTTGGCTGAAATAAAAGTCAAAAGTGTTGAAAATGTATAAGTATTTCACTGTTTTCCAACTGTATAATTAAATTATTTGTTGATCACTGGAAAAAGTAAAAGCTTACTCATAACAACCACCCTGAGACACCATCCCATTTCTTTATCCAACGATAGCAAAAAACAGCAATGTCTTGAAGCAAATTATATTAACGCAAATTGCATTAATGAGTATTCAAAGCTGGGCTTTCAAAAGTCCAACAAATTACACAGAGGTATGTGTGTGTGTGTGTGTGTGTGTGTGTGTGTGTGTGTGTGTGTGTGTATTTATTAGACTTTGGAAATCCCAGATTTTGACACTAATTAATGTAATTTACTTGAATATATTTTGCATCAAATTAAATGTTTTACAATTAAATCACTTGCCTATCAAAACATCTACATTTTGCACATCTGTAACTAAACCAGGTATGGAAAATTGTTTACATTTGTATCTCTGCCCTGTTTAAAGTGTTTTAGGAACATTAACAAATTTAACTCCACAACACTTTTCTGAAATAGGTGAACATTATTATTGCTTATTTTAGAGACAGGTGATCTGCGTCAGAGATTTTTAAATAACTTGTGAGGGAAGATCAAATAGGATGAGATCTTAGTACATTTTGGCTCTGAGGCCACAGACCAATGCGGCATCCCTTCTTCTGAGGTTTGATTGTTGCTAACACAGATGAGCTAAGTCACAGTTTGATAGTGTAGTCCCCCAAAGATTTCCTTGGCAGTATTATCAAGCAGGTTAATTCACAGAGTCACAGAAGTTTAGGGCTGGAAGGGACCTTGTGAGATCATTGGGTCCAGTCCCCTGCTCTGGGCAGGAAAGACTGCTGGGGTCCAATAACCCCAGCAAGGTGTGCACCCAATTATATCATCCTATTTAAAATTTTCATTTGATTCAGACTGCAGTAGGTCCTAACAAGTCAAGAAATAACCAGAATTCCACATCACCTGGGGCAAAGGTTGCTCAGTTGTATACCAATGCCCAAAATGGTATTTTAATTCACATTTACTTGACCAACAAATGGTTAGAGCAAATTGAAACGTTTTTTGGTATTGTTTGTAAGTGCACAGAGCTCTTTTCTGTTAGTGTTACAAGACAGAATTGTGGAAGGCTTTCCCCACTTTTAGCCTCCATACCTTGCTTGTTATTTGGGTTCACCTACTCCTTTTAGAATCAAATTAGACTTGCCTCCACATTCTGATACATTCCGTGCGCCTGTTATGCCCTGTCCATCGTTACTTGGGCAAGGTTCACAGGTAAGTTGACCTTCTGTGTCTTGGTATGTTCCTGGTGAGCAAGGAATGCACTGATTATGCTCTCCGCTATAATAGGTGCCCGTGTTGCAGGTAACTGAGAAAAGAAAAGTGTAATCTACATAAGGACTTTCATTTTGGTAATATAGTTTGCCTTCATATAAAAACCTTACAGAAGATGGATCTCTTTGACCTGGTCTACTTTTAACAACAACAAAAAAATCTCCAAAGTGTCATTGGTTTTTGGCAGATAAATATAAGTTGTGGTTTTATGGGAGATATAATACAAGATGTATGTGCTGAGGGCATAGTAAGTTGACATATCAATTATAAAGATGTATTTGCAGGCAATACGTCCCATCTCAATTGGTATTTTTCTTGACAGTGAAATAGTTTAATTGGAAAAACATTCTAAGCGTATAAATTAATCCCCCTGCTTTTCATCTTGCAAGAGGACACTTTATACTTTTGGCTTTAAGGGGTAAACCTTAAGGGTTTCTAAACACAATAGTTACAGTGCTCAGTTCAACCTCTCAATTACAGAACTGTGCAGGTGCAAAGGATGTGCGTGGTAATCCTGAATAACCAGAGCTGCACATGCAAATTCAATGCTTTTTGCATAGAAATGGCCTGATGTGTCAAAGTGCCTTAAAAAAAGTGTAGAAGCTGACTGAAAATTTGACTCCAAGTCCGTACAGTGTTATGGGCATCAGGAGAAAGTAAACTGCATTCTTGATAGATTAGAAACCTTGTGCTGAAAATTGCAGTTAAAGAGTTATCACAAGCACCTGATCCCAAACAATGCAGTTCAGTCAGTCTATCCTTGTTGTTCTACATAAAGCAAGACCCAGGATTCCCCACATTGTTTAGGTATCAGCTAGCTTTACTGTATGACTTACTATTGACTAGTTAACATTCAAGATCTATATTTTGAAAAGGGTGCAGTTGATTCAAATATAACTTCAAGTTTTGCTGAGACTTACCACATTTTTCATCCTGCAGCACTTGACCTGTATTGCATGCTTCATGTCCTTCAGTAGCCTTAGCTGGCTTCTGAGCCACTTCATATTCTGTCCCAGAAAACTGAACGTAAAATTGCTGTTTGTTAATAGATTTCCTCAATGTTTTGATTGCAGTTTGCAGGTTCTGCTCCATTCGTTTCCGCACACAGTCAATGTTACAGGTGTCTAGATGGGAAAGGATCAGAAAGCAATTGAGATTCATGTTTGAAGTAGAGATGCTTAGTATACCATTCCTAAACAGTATGCCATGCTAACTATTGGAACACTTTTATCCCTCTGGCACTTCATTTGCTTCTCTTTATGTGCCAAGTGGAAAAAATATGTTTTTCCTAGTACCAGAACTGACTGATTAGTGGCAGTTTTGATTTTAGGCCATTTGAAATGGACAGACAGACAATCAAAGTATAGTGAATCAAATTCCCAATCTGTAACTGCACACAGAGCACTGATCTTGTCTTAGCTTCAGCATAAGGAGCTCATTGCCTTGTTCTATTCCAGGTACAGAATCAGAGATACAGCAGACATGGCGCACTCTCCAGCAGTACTGAGCTGGGATCTATCAAACAAACATGCTGTATTGTCTCACAGGCTATAGAAGTGGCAGCTGCTCTGCATGTTGCCACCTATGTATTATGACATTTTCTCTTTCATATATTTCTATGAGTTCTAACCATTCCTAGACATTTTCAGAGCCAACTTTCCAATTACATCAACTTTGAGCTTGGAAAGCTTGTTGAATTTTGTAATGCATGTTGCATACAAGCCTGGTGAAATGCAAGTTGACTGGCTGACCACACCATAGCACTGTAACATGACCTTCCCATAGACCAGACAAGATCTTTCACAAACCTGAGACTTCCTCTGATTTCATCTCTACTTCAAACTCAGCAGTGATATGGGACACTTCTTTGGAGGGTGACTTGCGGCCTCTGCGTTTTTTCTTGGAGGAATCACACTTCAGATTCACAAAGGTCACCTGACAGTTGTCTGTACAAGGGAATTGACCTCCTTTGCATAACAGAAGTGACATGGAAGAGAAATCATGTAGCAAGGTAGCAAGTGACAGGCTTGCGTGTGATATTAGAGTTGGGTTAACATTAATGCTTTGGTAATGTTACATAACATTGCACATGCACTGTTAGATGAACCATTTCTGGTTAGATGAACCTCCCCCCTCCTCCAGTGCCCTCACCCCCTAGTTACTGGTCAGGAACCTGGGTCCGGGTCCCTCCAGCTTGCACCACTGCTTGCCCCACATGGGCAGGCAGTGTGCTTCAGCACTAGGGCAAGTGCCAGCTGTAGAGACACTCTGGCTGGCCACCAGAGCGTCTCTGTGGAGGACAGAGCCTCTGGTTGTCTCAGGGCATGGTCCAGGACCATGCCCTGCCCGCTTTTTCCTCCTGGGGTATTTTTTGATACCGGGATGTCTGGCTATCAAAAAATGTGTTCACAGTGTGCTTCTTGCAGCATCTCAAAGGAGTTTGAGACACTGCAAGAGGCACGCTCGCACTCGTCTGGATGTGCCCAATGAGGGTAAAAAAAGAAAATAAAAATTCAGGAGTGTTTTTACATAATATTTTGCCTCAGGTTGATAAGGGAAATAAAGAATCAAAATCAGAAATTTGCATGTGATGCTGTTAAATTACTGGGTGACCCAGCTGCAGTTCCATTTCTGAGTAATACTTTTGTTGTACAAGACAAATTTTAACTGTACTTGACTTCTCAAAGTTATACTAACTATGTGAATCCTAAAGAACTGTGAAATGTGTCATTTAAAGCCTATATTCTGTTTACCTCTAAAAGTGACATTTGAGATGAAAAGCACATTTAAAAATGACTTTGCATGTTAATAATACTCATCTAGACAGTTAAAACTAGTCTCCATTCTGATAATCTACTTTACATGTCCCTATTTCTACCGCTTGTTTATTTACTGTCCTTCCCTCTGTGTGGGGGATTAATCTGGACAGATCAATTTAGGTTACAACCTGACTGTGCTCAGATTGCAGAGGCTGCATGGAAATATCGAAAAGAAAAAATGTTTAATTGAAAAGACAAAAAGTAATAAAAAAATATGTATTCATAGCAAGTTTTGCCACTTTCAAATGCTAGACCAGCCTGACAAAGGATTTCCATTTCTGATTTTGCTAAAATTGGATATATCTGTTTTGTTTTCATCCTTTGTTTGCAATATCATATAACTAAATCATATAACTAAATATTCCAGTATAACTGAAGCCATCCATAACTACAGATTTAACTTTTCTGGGAAGAGGCTGCCTCTTCCTGCACCGTAGGATGCCAATGGGAACATAATACAAATTAAAATAACATATCTTATTTTTATCTATCTTATTTTAATGAACAAAATTCAAACCTAGCCAACTTCCTTTCAACTTCTCTTTGGCCAGTAACTTTTGATCTCAGGGGAACTGTACCACTGCCAGAAGCCTTGTAGAATCAGCTAAATTCTGAATTTTTGAAGACTTCATAAGATCAACTGGTGGCACCTTATGATGAGCACTGCTAATCCAAACCCTAGTCCAACTTTAGCTTGAATCTGAATTGTGGACTAAGCCTAGGTTAAGGCCAAATCTGAAAGTCATAACTACATTTCTTAGCAACTTGTGAGGAGAACAAGTTACCAAAACAAACTGAAACAACATTTAGGACTCTCTGATGATGTTATGAGAAACCACATACCAATATGAGTTTGCTTCCCAGAATCTTTATTTTTTTCTTTGCTGCGAGGCCGTAAATGGCACTTTGCATCTTTAATTTTGAAGCGAGCTTTTTGCTTGATTGGTGGGGCTAAGGAATCTGTTGAAATGAAATTAAAGTTTATCATTCCTTGTACAGCCTAAATGAATGCAAGCACTTATTTGATTTGAGTTAGTAATTTTCTTGCAACCTCTAACCCAGGCTTGTCCAACATGCATCCCTCCAAACTGTTTTCTGAGGCCCGAGGTGCTGCAACAGGAAACGAAAGTAAACACTGTACTTTCGTTTGGGGGTGGGGAGGGGTGTTGATGCTGCTTTCTGTGAGGTCTTTGAATATGGCTCGCTAGCCCACTGGGTGATAAAAAGTTCATGATCCGGCCCCACGTTCAGAAAGGTTGGACATACCTAAACCAACCAGGATCCTCTGAATCTGTAACCCTTTATTTCAGTGTACCTTTATGCATTATACAAAGTGTGTGGTTCTTGCAAAGGGGCATAGGTTGTAGCCATGTTGGTCTAAGGACATAGGCAGACAAGGTTCTTTGGGTAAATCCAATATCTTTTATTAGACCAACTCAAATAGCTGGAAAAATTCTTCTTTGCAAGCTTTTGGGTACAATTACCCTTTGTCAGGCAAAGGAAGCATCTGCAGATCATCTTTGTTGGCAGTGGGGGGTGGGTGGGAGCATGGTGAGTGTGCGCAGGGAGAGAGCGTGGGTTTGAATATTCACACTGCAAATATTTGAAACCACGAATGGCGAATCCACGAATGGCAAGGGTTTCCTGTAATAAAGAATCCAGAAACTAGTGTAGGCACGAAAGCACTCTCTCTCTCTCTCTCACACACACACACACACACACACTCTGTATAGTACCTACCTGCACAAGTAGGCAGTGTTGCATTGCGCTTTTGCTGGGCCTTGCCTTGCTGTACTGGAACTCCACAACTCAGTGTATAACTATTCTCTGAATCTGAACACAAAGGAGAAAGCATGCATACTGATATATATATATATATATATATATATATATATATATATATATTATATATACACACATATATATTATACACACACACACACACACACACACACATATACATATATATATATACACACATACACAAACACACACACACGCACACACAGAGAAAAATCATTCTGGTAGTATTATCCTCATTCTTCACTTATTAGCACTGACACAACTTTTGAAAAATCTTACCTTAAAATGACAAACCATATTAACCAATCACATGATGTTTTAAGTGGCTGAAGTGGGCAAAGACTTAGGTTTGCCAGAGCCTATTGCTTCATATTCTTGATTATAAACTGAATCTTTTTTTCCAGGCTGTGAACTGTTAAATAAACCATATGATGGTAATGGGCAGAAAATGTTTTACTCTGTTTTTACATCACAAAATTTACCAGTGTGGAAAACAGCAGTTGATTCAAAACTAAACTCTCTTTCCTGAGTAATTTTAATTTAAACTACTTTGACAGAATTTTTGATAGAAAAAAAAATAACATGTAGGATGCATCCAGACGAGTGCGCACGTGCAATCTGCACGTGCAATCTGCAGTGCGCAAATAACTTTGAGGCACCACAAACTGTGTGCGGCTTGTGTGTACCCATTCACCATGCTGCTAATTTTCAGTATACAAAATGTGGCAAGTTTTTTTTGACACTGGGAGATCCTGGTGTAAAAAAAACCAAAACGCTGCTAAAAAAAGCAGTGTGGTGCACATGGTAGCAATGTGCACTGTCAGAAATAGACCCTGGCTGGCCAAAGCAAGCCATACTCTGGCTGCTGGCCAGGCTCCGAGAGGCCAGCTCAGTGCTGCTGCTGCCCCGGGAGATCCTCAGGACCCCAGGTCAGGTTGTTGGGGTCAGCACAGGTGCTGGCCCTAGTCTCCCTTCCCCACGCAGGTTATCCTGCCATACTGCTACAGGTGAGCTATCAACAAGTGTTTAGCATGGGGACTCTTGCACTTCCAACTTGCTCAGCTTTATCTAACCACCTATATATGTTGACTTTCAGGACAATGTAAAATCTGTATTTCTTAGCAGATGTGGAGTGTGCTAAGGGAGCTTTATTGCTATAGGAATATGGTACCAAGAGGTATTGCTGAAACTAACCTTTTCTTTTTTCCAATCTCTGGAATTTGTTGAATTAATAATTTATTATGCTCAAACTTCTCTTTAACACGGTATTCTTAATCATCCATTTATCTGGCACATCCCTTGTCTTATTCATTTTTCAACTGTCATCTCTAGTTAACTACTTTGGTCCAGTCTTCCCATATGAGTTGATGGTCCTTAGGAGTTCACAGCATCAAGCCCTGCTGATGGGCTGTAACTGTGTTCAATTAGCATTTGCATACATGTTTTAGTCTATAATTAATTTTTTCCTTATAACTGTTTGTAATAATCCATAATAATACATCTACAATGTGTTCAAAGAAGAAAATTAAGTCACCTTGTATCTAGAATCATTAATGCTGGATTGTACCAACCTGGAACAAAGAGCGTGTTGGATGGGCATGACAAGAAGCAGCTTTCTATTCCCCCTGATTTACTGCAGGCTAGCTGAACCTGGGGAGCTGGCTTGGCATTTGTGAGGCATTTCACCATCTCTGAAGAAAAAGTAATGAAAAATTAAGGACTGTGCAGCCAGGAGACCTTACCCTCCCACTCACAGAGGACAGTGTGAAAAGGGGTTATTAGTGAAAATGTTTATGAAGCTAATGCAATGGTAACAGACAGAAAATCCTTCATAAACATTTGCTAAAACAGCCCATGTCCAAACATCTGTGAACTTACGGTGTTCATTAAGTTCACAGCAAGTGGGAGACTAACTGGGATCTGTACTAGGAACAGAGGTGGGGAGGCTGGGAGTGGCAACAGTACAGTGGAACTAAAATTGCGCATCTTTTTAGAGTTGTCAACTTTAACTATCAGAGCAAATACAGTGCAAAATCCAGTCACTGAAATGGGCAGGTAACAGTATGCACAGGAGATTTTTTGCCTTTCTTTTTGGTAATATTCTCTCAGGTACAGTGGGCCCCCCTGCCATGACACACACTGGAGTTACTCTCACTAAGATTGGTTTATTTAAATTCTTGAGAGTACAATATTTTCCACTACCCATTCCAACTCTCACTGACTTTGCCCAATATTTCTGTTTAATCCCAGCTCCACCCTCTAATTTTCCACCCCTGAATAGGAAACCGCAGAGGAAGACCATAGAACTGCCGGTGAGTCAGTGGGTGGTAATGTTCCCATTGAGACAACTCTCAGCCAAGGCCTGAGTACAATGTTAGGAAGAGTAATATTGTAGGATAAGATGAGGTTTGGCAGGTTGGATCAAAATAGAAGTTCTGACACTTCTTTTCATTGGTACATACAAGGGAGCAAGAACTCTTCCTTCCTAAACCCCCCCAAAAAGTTTAATTACAAAGGAAGGCAGTCTTCTCTAGCCCTTAAAACCCCGCCACTAATTTGGATAAAGTATCCACTTTCTACCTTGAGCTGATGTTATGTAAGATTACTGTAAGCTGTACAGTTTGAGCTTCACCCCAGAAATAACTGAAGTTTAAATTGAAATCCTCTGGGAAGCAAGTGCTATTTAATCATGTATACCATTAGGTACAGAGCTGCTAAGGCATCTGGTTCCAGAGCCATGAGTTCATATCTGGACCTGTATCAAAGGCCATCTCCAAGTCAACTCAGCTGTAAACATCCACACTGCACTCAAAAGGTGGTTGGAGATGATGACAGCCACATTGCTTCCCCATCTGCTGTTGGCTATAGAGACTTGTGTGCCTTAATCATGGTAGCCCAGTTCTCAACCATGGTGCTGCACAATGTTAACACTGTTAGGTGTACACACATGATTCACAAGATATACCCAGAGATTTCAAATAAGAATCCATTTTCCAAGGGATGCCTTCAGTCTACTGAGGGAAGCCTTGAGTGTAAAAAAGGTTGAGAACTATAATCCAGTTAAGCAGGCTGCTAGACTCAGGAGGATCTTTGATAATTTCTACTAAGTGCATGTCTCAGCTATAACCACTAGGTGTCACCATGTTCAAGCAAAGGCTATGTTACTTCTCCTTTGCACTGTTTTATAATCTTGAATTTCAGTTTTTGTGTTTTGCCTGGATTAAGCAGGTGAAGAGTTATTAAACTCTTTTTACAGTAGCAGCTCCAAGTTAAATCAGACTTTAGAAACTAAATTAAGTTTCTGTTGACTTCAGTTTTTTAAATCCTGTAGAAGGCAGGGAAGGGCAGGGCATTATCTTATTTAGAGACCAACTGGTTCCTAGTGGCATGAGCTTTCATAGGTAACAATTTATTTCATCAGGTGCTAGTAATGGACTCTCTGAACCAGTTGGTCTCTAAATAAGCTCTCTAAGGGCCTTGTTGCACATTACACTTAGGACACGTTAACTATACTTTAAATGCTAGCATCTGAGTTTTCAACAGTAAAACACCAGTAAGTACCATTGTAGTGTAGCAAAGGTAGGACTTTCCCTGCAAGGAGTGTGTCCAGATCGTATTACCTAACATGTGTAGAGCTAATGCCTGACTGCTCCATGGAAGTAATACAGTCAGGAGGCTGATGCGGTGGGGAGGCTGGGAGTGGCAAATAGCTTCTTGATTACAAACTCTCTTTTTCTTCTAGTTGCTGTAAAATAAACCATGCAATGGTAATGGACAGAAAATGTTTTACTTTGTTTTTACATCATCAAATCTATGGGTGTGGAGATTACAAACTTCACAGACAGCTGTTTGTTGGTTCCAACCCCTTCCCTCCCTTCCCCTCCCCCCGGTTGCACTAGAGTCTTCATGCTCCAGCACTTATGTAGTGTTTTTTTTAGAATGTGGTAAGCATTACCATGCAACTACTCAGAAAACTTTCTAATTCATAGTAATATTTACGTGATCTAAATAAAACATGTCCTAAGTGTAATGTGTGACAAAGCCCTAAGATCGCACCCTGCCCTGCCTTCTGCTTCCCTTTGGACAAGCATGGTTAACTGTCTCTTAAACCCTATTGAAAATCACTTTCGATGTGAGGACACTATCCCTCACAGTATCTCCTCTACCACATTAGATCAGGGGTGGGCAAGATATGGCCCACAGGCCAGATCCGGCCTGCGAGGCCATACTATCCAGCCCATGGGGCCCCCCCAAATTTAGAAAATTAATATTTCTCTGTCCTTGGTTCCTGTAAAAAATGACAGACTTCCCCCTATCAAAAATGACAGGAACCAAGGGCAGTAGGACCCAGGGGAAGCCCCAGCAGGCTTCCACAACAGCAGGGCCTGCCCGGTCCTGCCCCCCCAGCCAGAAGCCCCAGCCTGGGCTTCTGGCCTGGAACTATGCGGCTGCCCTGTGCAGGAACCTCAGGTAAGGGGGAGGGGGTGCGGGGAAGGGCAGGGGAGGACCCTGGGCAGGGAAGGAGCCTGGGAAAAGTGGCCCAGGGAAAAGCTGAGTATGGCAGGGTGGGAAAGCAGCCCCTTGCCCGCACTGTGGCCAGCGCCCAACACTGCAGCCACTCGCAGCCCTTATGGGGCTGCCTGCACCTGCTCTGGACAGCCCTGCATGGGCTGTGAGCGGCTGCAGCAGGGAGCGCTGGCCACGGGGCGGGGGAAGGGCTACTCCCCTCCCTGGGCTCAGCTTTTCCCTGGGCTCCTTCCCTGCTCCTTCCCAGCGTGGAGGAAAGCAGCTCTTCCTCACCCCGTGCCCGGTGCA